TTTCCTCATCCTCCTTTTACAGGGAAGGCTCTCTGTCACTGTGACATCCTCCTGCGTCCCAACGGCACTGCTCCAGAGGCCGCAGCACGTCCCTCCCTACAGCCACAGGTCCTGAAAGGAAAATTTTCCCCCTCTTCTCCTTCGTGAAGGCAAAGGCACTGCCCGCACTCCCAAAGGTGCTCTCTCTGCCTACATCACTGCTGATCACAAAACACCCGTTATCAAGCTCATTCCCTGCTCTAATTAGAACAAGGCAACACACAAAATAATTACAACAAAGAAATTAAAAAACTAGACGAGCTTCCAGTTATCCACAGTGTCTCTTACCACTGATGACTAGAGACCACATTCAGCAATAGTCTATGACTAAGATTAAGGGAAAAAAAATAAAATTAAAAAAATCTCACAGAGTGATCCAGATCATGAGAACCACTTCAGTGCTGAAGATTTCCAAGGAAGTACCTTCTATAAATAACTTCTGCTTGACAAATTACGGTCTAATACGTTTTGTCTTTGCACGCCGCCAGAGCCTGGTAGCCCCTCGCTGTTGTAGCATCGGAGCGACTAGTCTGCAAATAATTATTTTGCTTTGGCATTTCCCACAAGCACTGAGCAGGCAGGAACTGCTCACCGAATGGAATCACAGAATCATAGAATGGTTAGGGTTGGAAGGGACCTTAAAGATCCTGCCTTTCCAAAAGGAGGCTGCTGTCCGTACAAACGTGCAGGTTTTTAAAAGCAAACAGTAAACACTGTCAGTCACACAGAAACTTGGTATTAATTGTGGTGCTGATTTCCCTCGTGTCGTGTCTTCACCTCAGAGCAGTGGAAAACATCTGTCACAAAATGACTTACGGCACTAACGACAATAATAATCAGCCAAAGCTGCTCTTAGCTATCAGCCTCGATTCCAGCTCTCGCTCCATGAGTCAAGAAATTGTTCTCGGCGTGCAGGTGGGAACAGAGATTTGGGATTTAATGCATTACATCTCTGAAAGCTGGGGAACGTCCAGCTGCCGCAGGGCAGCAATAACCAGGCTGGATTTTTATTCCGGGTAGGACACCAAAAGCTTCGACACAATGAGATTCCACAGGGAAAATTACTTTATACCAGATGCTTTGCAGTTACTTTGTTTGTGTACAACGTTATAGGATTAGTTTGTAGTGCATAAGAGGTAGTTTCTCAAAGACAGCATCTCAAACACTAAGCAGTTAACTCTAGTTTTACATACTGCTCTCGTTTTACATACTACAGATGGCATTTGTATTGTACAAGTTAGAAAATAAATGCATAGTGGAGGATTGGGAATAAACTGGGTAAGTCATGAATGAAAAACAAAAGCAGAACCAGATTTTCTGTAAGCAAAGCCACTTAAAACTACTTAACACTCCAAGCGTACTTGTAATTAAATCCAAACAGAATTTCTTTATAATAAAGCTTTTAAAATAACCTAGTGCCCTCAGGTGGCAGAACTCTATACTTCCTCCACCAAATTACTTCAAACAATGCCTGGGGTGAAGGATTTGCTTCAATGTCCTTCAGCAATTCAGAAGCAACATTCTGATTTCAACCTTTATGCACATCAAACTAGTATTTAATTTTGACCTAATATCTGCTTTATAAGAGATGATACTGGAGAGATACAGTTTTTAAAAAATGAAAGGTAAATTTAACTACAAAATAACGGTTTAACAGATTTAACACTGAAATACTTACAATTCTTTTTTAAGTTCTTCCACTTTCTTGTTCTCCAGATTTAGAAGCTCTTTTGATTTATTAAGTTCCTCTTCATTTTTCAGGTTGTTTTGCTTAAGCATGTCCAACTTAAAAGAGAAAAAAAAAAAGCCTCATTACGCTAATGCAACTATACAGCTCCCAGGTAGCACTCAGAAAAGATATTCAGAGAAACGGGGGGCCTGAGCTGAGCTATTGCACTTTTTCATCTTTAGTCTTTAAATGAATTTCGTCTGTTTGTACTGAGAAGCATTTATCTAACAAAAAACGTTAAGAGCCTTCCTGCATTTAAATCGAGCAGCAAAAAAGATTCAAAGTCCATTGAAGAGCAGCTTACAGTAATCTGATGTATATACCCTGATATACAAAGGTAAAGCTCCAAAGCATCTCCATTTTAAATGCTATACAACTCAAAGCATTTAAAAAAAAAAAAAAAAATCAACACTTGTTGCTAAAATTAGCTGTTGCCTTCACTTTTACTCCTCTAAGATAACTGATAAAAAGCTCTGCTTTACCATACCTTAATTTCTGAGAAACAGTAGGCTGAGTGTTGTGCTTGCAGCCATAAGAAGTCAGCTCCTTTCAGAGATCTTGTTGCACGGGACAAATTGTGTATCTATTTACTGAGCTTGCATCTACCATGTAAACACCACGAGCTGGCCAACGCTATTCGTTCACGTCCAGCGACACATTATATTACATAACAGATAATCTTCAGCCATTCTCACGGCATCACAGGACCCTGTGGATTTTTTTTTTTTTTTAATCCAGAAAGTGAAGCCCTGCCATTGTTAACGTCACCGCTTTTAATTCTCGAGTCATCAGATCTCGTTGGAAATCATTACTGTTTCAGCACAAGCTGTGGCATTTAGGCTAGCCCAGCTGTTCACCACCCGTTATTACAGGAGCTGCAAAAGATGGAAGAGCCATCAAAAAGGCCACAGGGTGCTCAAGATCTGCAGACAAGATGCCAGTTCAATGTTGGACTACATTTTTTTTTAGAGTGTGAAAGATTAGTGAGGACGTTTTTCCTTCCTTCAAACCCCTAACGTATCACAAAGTGGTGGGAAGGTGCAGACTGAAGAACAGGTCCTTAAAGGAGCTGCTGTACGTGTGGGATTGTGAAGTCCTTTGGGACTGCTGTGCTCAGGTATTTGTGTAAGTGCATAGAGCTCAGCAGAACTTCTACCTCGTCAGACCACAATTCCAATTAACAGAAAAGTGGAAAAAAGAATAAATTATAACATTTCAAGATCAGAAAGCGGATGCCCCATCCCTGGCAGTGTTCAAGGCCAGGTTGGATGGAGCTTTGAGCAACCTGGTGTAGTGGAGGGTGTCCCTGCCCATGGCAGGGGGGTTGGAACTGGATCCTTAAGGTCCCTTCCAACCCAAACCATTCTGTGATTCTATGACGTACAGAGCAAGGAGTGCATTATAGCAGAGAGACGGAGTGACAACTTTCATGGGTTAGGAGTACTGCTACTCAGAGCTTTTCCTTGGAGCGTGAAGTCACATCCCAAACTTACACACCGGGAATCGAAGCACAGCAACTCATCCAAAGCTCTACAGCAAGCCTGATCAAGCCTCAAGTCAAACTCATGTCTCTTGACTCTGTGATCTGCAAAAGCTACTGCCTGTAGCTTCCAGATCTCCCAGCACGTAAGATAATTCTTTTTGTTGCTGCACCAGGATTTAAAGCACAAGACCTTGTTCACTGTGAAGGTGTTTGAAATCACATGCAGAACGCAAAAGCAGACAGGTCATGTGGCTATATAAAGTACATAGATTTTTTTCCATCAATATGTACTTATTTAGTAAGTTTTCACAAGCCAGTCAAGACTGAGCATTGTGAATCCACTCCTGCTGAGGTAATTCTCTAATTCGACCGTTGTTCCTTACGAACTAGGCAAAGCTTTTCATAAAAAAGCATTTAAAGGTGATTACTTCATTCTGTAGCTTCTCGTTTGTCTGTCTAGAGTTCTCCAAAGAGGCCAAAGTTTCAATCTTTTCTTTGTGAATGGCATCCTTCTCTTTGGTCACCTTCTCCACAGTCTGGAAAACATCTTCTGCCATTTTGGCAGCCTATATGTAAAGGGAGGTGGGGAGAAAAAAAGTATTACCAAATGGAGCTCTGAAAGCAAAAGATTAACCACACCACTTTATGCACAGCTCCACCGTTTGTCAGCTGCTTTCCAATTAGACAAGGACTTCAACTGAGAATTTATTTGCATTTTGAAGCTGCATAAAGTATAAAAGTAAACGGACACGAAAAGATTCAATTCCATGCAGAAATAGACCATGACCCCATGCTTGTGTTACCACCAAGGAAGCCCATTTCCTCTTTTTTTTAATTCCTGGATTTCTAATTACCACCACTGTGATTGCTCTTAGACTTCTAACCGCTTTAGATAGTAGTAGTTCAATAGATATTCACTTCCAACAGATTGCTCTATTTTCAGAAAATGTGGAATTACAAGAAGCTGTTAAAATTTGAAAAAGAATTAAAAATAAAAGAATTATATAATAAAATCATTAAAGCCAATTATTGCATTATTTCAGTGTTGTTCATTATGCCCTCATAAAAGGAAATTCTTCACAAGAATATTAAGATACCGAGGTAGGCGTAACACATTCCCATAGGATCCCTTGATTCCAATTTGTATTCAATGCGGTTTTACGGGGTTCCAGCCCCACAAATGGAAATTCAAAATACTTTACAGAATTTGTTGGTGGTGAATACAATACACTTCTGTGAATAAAAAGAACACCAGAGATGCCAATGTCTTTAACAGACTGAAAGTTCTATAGTGTAAATTTAAATAGTTCTCTTATGCTGCTTTTCATCCAATTACACTTACGAGACCAGTATATTGGTTTCTATTTCTGAGTAACTCAAATTTGTAGTTTGTTGTAATTTAACACAAAATTGCACAGAGACCTAATCTAAACGGTACCTATTACTGCTCTAGCTTTCAACAGAAGGAGCTGCTCAATTTCTCCTACCAGATTCAGTAAAGAAAACTTCCTTTTATTCACAGTTTAGGTTGTTTTCTTGCAACATTCAGCAACAGCACAGACTTTTGTAATTATTTTTTTTAAATTAAAGTGTCTTTCAGACTTACAAATTGAAAAAACAAAGTAATACATTGAGAGAGACCATAATTCCAGCCTGTTTATACCGAGATGAAGTGCTGATTGTGCAATGGAGTGCAGGAAGGAAACCAGGGGGTTAGTGCCCAGTATTAGTATGACCATACTTGATTGTTTAACTATTGTGTTTCAATACCTCAATTTTTTGCGCTACTGTTTGGGCCTGGAGAGTCTCCATTTCTTTTAGTTTCAAAGCCAGATTGTTCATCTCCTCCTGCAGCATCTGATTTTTGCCCTGAGACACCAGCAATTTGCCTGAGAGGTCACTATTAGTTTGTTCTAAAAGTGCCACTTCCTCCTGCAGTTTATAATAATCCTTGGAGAACTTCTCCTTCTCTTTTAGCATTTCTTCCCTAATGATGAGCAGACTCTTCTGTTCACCAAGCAGGCTGTCCTTTTCCTGAAGTAACTGTATTCTCTCCTTCTCCATCACCTCATGCCTGTGTCGAAGATCATCTAACCTCTCGGAGACACAGCTGTGTAAGTCCTGGAGCTCAGCTTTCGATTCAGACAAGGAAACAAAGTCATTCTTCAGTCGTTCGATACTGGAAGTGAGCTGCTCTGTCTCTGCACAGAGAGTTTCTTTTTCTTTAATTATTTCTGCCAGTTTAGTTTCAGATTTTTCTTTCTCCTCAACTAAAAGTTCTTTCCCAATCAGTAATTCTTTATTTTTCTCTCTCAGCTCTTCTATCTCCTTCTCTAAGAAGCTGATGTTGCTTCGAAGTTCCATACATTCCAATGAAAATGATTCCTTGTCCAGTTTTCTGGCTTCCTTTTCTATGGTTAAGTTTTCTTTCATAATCTCAACCTCTCCATTTAATTTCTGACACTTATCTTGCAATTCAGTCCTCTCTCTGGTCAGCATTTCCCTGTCAGAGGAACAGGTCTGGAATGAAGATGACAGGACCTGCTTGGCGTGTGATACAGCAGCCAGTTCATTTTCTAATGTTCTTTTGGCATCCTGGGCCTCTTTCAGCAGATCTGAAAGGTCACACTTACAGGCTATTAGTTCTTGATTTTCTAAAGACTTCTTACTTAGTTCTTCCTTGAGGGCTTCAATGGAATCTTGGAGTATGGCATTCTCTTGGGCCAGAGCTCTCTTGGCTGAGACGTCCAGTTCACGTTCTCTCTTCATATCAGAAATTGCACTTGCAGCAGACTTGTTTTCATCAAGAAGCTCTAAGTATTTGTTCTCTAACTCATTCTTCTCTTGAAGAAGAGCTTCATTGTGCTTTTCAAATTGCAACGACTTACGAAAAACTGATTCCTTTTCTAAGCTCAGTTCATTTATTTTCTCAGTAAAGACTTTCTCAGCAAGTAAGGCGTCTGCTGTGGCCTTAGCAAGCTTCTCAGTAATCTCCTTATTTTCAGTAAAAAGTTCTTCCCTTTCAGCCAAAAGCCTTCGTTCTGATGAAGACAGAGCCTCTTTCTCTTGAACTAACTGAATACATTCAGAATTGGATTTGTCTCTTGAGGCTTTAATTTCCTCAAGAAGACAAGAGAGACTAGCAAGGGAATCCTTCAACTCCATATTGTCTTTCATCACTTTTGTAAGTTCTTCACGTTTGGTCTCTAGTTCTGTTTGCACCTCTTCCGTTCTCACTTTTAATGCTTGGTTTTCACCAACCGTCTCGTCTAAACTCACACGCAGGTCTTCTACGCTTTTAAGGAGCATCTCCTTCTCCAACTGCAGACTCTGACTTGCCTGCAATAGATTATCAATTTCATTTTTTAAGGCTATCTGTGTATTTTTAAGATCTGAGTGTTTACCTAGGGCTGAATCTCTCTCAGCAGTAAGAGCTGACACTTTTTGTAGTAGCTGTCTTTGATCTCTGGCCAGCGTCTCATGAGAACTTTCCAGTTTCTGAATAACATCATCTTTGTCTTTAACAACTGCATCTTTCTCTTCCAAAAGTTTCTTCTGATAATTTTTCAGTTCTTCCCATTCCTTGATATGTTTCTGACATGCCACATCCATGGCATCTTTTTCAGCCTGAAGTTCTTTCAACTGTTGGAGCAAGGTTGACTCTGAAGACCGGAGAGTATCATTTTCTTGAGTTATCTTCAGAAGGTCTGCCTGTGCTGCCTCTATTTCAGAGAGTAATTTGCTTTTCTCAGAAATTAGTGCTACCTTTTCTGTGCTTTCCTGCTGGCTTTTGGCCTCAGCTTCTTCCTTCTGCTTTAGGATTTTTTTATTTTCTGAATTAAGTAGTTCTTTTATTGTCCAAAGTTGTTCTTGGTCTTGTTGCATTAACGAAATCTTTGATTCCAATTCTAGAAGTTTTGATAACAAGGAATCTCTCTCTAATGTTAAAGTATTCCCCTCCTGTGCCAAAGTCTCTTTTTCTGATATCAAACCCCTCATCTTGTCTGACATTACTTCAATCTCTTTTCTGGCTGATGCTAACACAGAGCTTAAGGACTAAAGAAATAAAGTCAGGGAGAAGGGAAAAGAAAAATGAAGTCAAGCAGACAAATGAGAAATGTGGTTTAAGGGCAAACAGAGCTATTGCAATTTTTTTTAAAAAGTGCATACACTGGCACACAGTCTCTGTGCGAACTCAACTGATATTTCATTACAAAACACCCGTCATCCGCAAGAAAACTTTTCAGTGGTTAAATAATCATCATAAAAACCATCATGGTTTGAAGGTTCCTCCATACAAGACTTCGTCTTGTGTTTAAAACTACTCTCAACAAATTCTCTAATTGTAAATTACTCAGAAAGACGACCCACAGAATGATTTAATGAGAATCCAAGTGAATTAAAATGCAGGGAGTTATATTAGATACTGACTTTCAATTCTCAAATTCGACTTCTATAGATAATTCTCCTCATGATTCTGTCCACAATATATTGTCATAACCCGTTTAATTCAAAACGCCACAGCAGTGGTGTATTTAAAGTTAACTCGTGTGCCAATTTATACACTAAATATTTTGCTAAAGCATAAAACAAAGATTGTAGCAAATAACTAATGAGGGATGAAAGCATGCAATAATGTCAAAGAAACAGGAGAAAAAAATTACTAAAAATCAAGCTACATACTAAACAGTTGCACATAATATTAAATCATACTACTGAACGGAATTTCAGGTGTGTAACACTTTTACATGAAATAGTTCACAACATATTTTAAAACTCATGCATTTAAAAACCAAAGAATAACATTTGGCTTCAAGTGATAGTGCTGAGCCAGAGATCTATGAACATAAAATGTTAACATCAAAGAACGGTATTTCACGGATTCTCGTGTAACCTCGGGAAGATCACCACTCAGTCGTGTGTGCTCCTCTTCCCTAGCCCGTACTCATCTACCCTAGAAAAGCTCAAAAAAGTAACACTGCAAAAATCTTACTATGGAAAGGTGAAGCCAGGCAAAAAAACCCCACAGACTCACTGAAAGGGAAAGATTTAAACTTTAAATTATTTGCAGAGTAACAAAAGTATACATACTTCGGCCTGTTCCGCTTGCTTTTTCAGCTCCTCAGCCTGTGTTTCTAACTCCTCATTTTTCTTTTGTGCCATTTTCAGTGCCTCTTCTGCATCCAGCAAGTTCTGCTTAAACCCTTTGATATCTGCATCGTGTTTACTGATCATCTCGGAAGTTTCTTTTTCATACTTTGCCTGAAGATCCTTATACTGATTTTCGCTGGTCTGGATTTGCTTTTTCTGATGGAAGACAAACCAGTTGGAACACAGTCAAAGAAGCAGTGGTACAACATCCTGCACTTACTTAGCTGGTGCTTTTTAAAGTTGTTCTCACCATGTCCGTTAGTTGATCCTGCATATTTTTCAGTTCTGCTTGATGAATCTTGAGAGTTTCTTGCTGACTCTGCTCAGCTTTCTGTGTTGTCTGCTCCACATTTTTCTGAAGCTGAACAGCCTTTTCATTTGCTTTTGTGAGCTCAAGTTGTATTTGCTCCAACTGCCTGGAAAGACCAAATAAAAGAACATTACTTTTTGCTGACAGCAGGACAAGCACAGAAATGAACGACTCTAAATTATGCTGAAGTTCTATATTCTGTCCAAGTATTTAAAAAGAGATTTAATTATTTAACATATAAAGAATGATCTGCTAAACTAAATATACACAAGTGAGACTGAACACTTGCCTGTGTGCAGAGCAACACAGCTGCCAGTTACCTCACCCCTAGTCTGGGTTTTTGCAAAGGTAAAAAACAACTATTCCACATACAATTTTTATTTGAAACAAAATACATTTTCTCTTGCTAGACAAAAACGTGACACAAGTCTTTTATATATCCAAATAAACCAAGCTTATCAGGTAATCAAACAATTCTGAAGCACAATCACAAAACAGTCTAGATTATTAAAAACGTCCTTTACTCTGGGCAATGAGAAGCGTGTTACAAAAGAATTTTAGAACTATAAACGTTAGATGCTCATCAAATCACTCTGAGGAGACTGTTTTGATTAATTTAGTTTGATAGAGTAAGTTCACCTGTCGTATCAATGTGACACTCAGAAGCGTCTTGTTCAGATATTTAGAAAAAGATGAGAAGCTGGGAGTGCAGGAGTAAAGAATTAATGTGAAAATGTTCTGACAAAGACAGAATACCTTTCTTTTAACCGGAGCTCATCATTCATTTTTGTAAGCTGGGCAGAGCTGTCTCCTGAAGACTTCATGATTTCTGCAATATCATTTTCAAGTTTGGATTTCGCTTCAATCAGCTGCTGTTCTCTCTCTTCTCGCTCCTTCAATTTCTTCTCCATCACTGAGCAAGACAAAGGTTAGCAGTCTAGTAAATTTAAAAGAAAGGATATGACCCAGACTAGCTAGAAGATAGTAAAGAACTATAAGCAGAGCAATGCTGAGGCTACAGACCTTGCAAATTACCCCTTTAAAATGAAAAATTAAAATTGTTTGACCTTTTAACAGTTAACTGTAGCAGAAGGTTAAGAACTCTTCAGAAATAGTAAAAAAGCAACTAGCAAAGAAGTCTTTCAGAAGTGATTCATGTAACTTCAGGCCATGAGAAGCTGACAGGAGTTCTACCCGTGCCAGAGAGTGATCAAGCAATACATTAAGAGAGGTAGGCACATCTTACAGGCAAGACAACTCACCAGCTTTTTAGTAGGAGCAGCAGAAAACAATCAATGCAAGTGACACGAAGCTACAGTGAAAAAATTACTCAGTCCAGGAGCAGGCACTGCCACCAAGGGCAAGAGCAGCCCTTGGGATGACTTCTACAGCCCAACAGTGCCTTGAAAGGCTTGCTTACAGGGGACATAGTCATTTGTAATTTCTTTCTACATTCATTTTAAATTGAGATGTACAACTACAAAGATACAGCAAGACCCCCTCCTGTCAGGCAGGAAGGACAATACAACCAGACTGAAGCACAGTCTTTGTGATGTCCTTGAAAAGAAAAGACTACTTATGGACAAGGCTTCTGTGAGTTAACTCTCTCACGTTTGTAATGCTCCAGTCTGGTCCCCAAGTCTTTGTCTGGGACCTGACCATCTCCACAACATGATTTTGTTGCAACTGTCAAACACGAATTTAACTCTTGATTTGGAATACACTCAGCCAGGAGTCTTCTGCCTTGCTGCACCGTTTCCTTAACTATCACCACCTCGCCGGGCCACTATACACAGTGCCACAAATCTGTCTTCTGCCTAGAGAAAAAGGCTCCTTTCGAAGGCACATGCATTTGTGAAAGCGTTACGTACGACGACGTGGCGACCTGAGCAGGGGGCATACGAAAGCACAAAGCTGATGCATTTTTCAGAACATTCCATTTTATTACTTCCTTACCAGTCAAACTAGACTTCAGCTGTTCCAGTTCTGAAGACATGAGTGCAAACTGCTCTTCTTTTTGGTTTAGTTTTTTTATTGTTTCTATGCAAGTAAAATTTTGAAAACAAAGTTAGTAACTACTTAGATGCAGACAATTCCACCTACTTGCAAGGTACGTTACTCTTAAGAGAGGCTGCAAGTAATCCTGTCCTCTCCACAGCTGCTGAAACTGCTGTACTGCCAGATGTAAATTTGAAAGCACACAGAAAAAAAACCTTTATTTTGCAGCGTTTATTTTCTGCAGCTTTTTAGCTCCTTAGTTTAGCAGCAGACATACCTTGCATAGTTTGTTGAACGCTTTCTGCTTCATCAGCTGCACTAGTAAACTTTTCTTTCTGAAAAATGGATAAAAACCTAAGATAAGATTTGGTAATAGCAGTATAATTCAACCACTGAATTTGTATTAGGTATTTTCAAAGTACAAAATAGAACAGTCTTCACTCCCATCATAAATAGATCTGAAATTTCTGAATTAAGAGTTTAACACAGATACATTCAGCAACACGAAGCAAGATTTCCCCTTGCCTTGGTTGCAAGCAAGTCCCTCAACTTCCAGAATAACTTCTCCATCAGCTACCACAGCAACGGAACTGCAGCCACAGAGTCCAGGGGAGGAAGTTTGATTTCTGGGCTTCTCAATGCCAGCAGCTACCCATACTGCTCGTAGGCTGCACAGCAGACACCTGCAACCTGCAATCATCTCATACCAGCGTTTTCCAGCTTTACCAGCAGGAAAAGCTGCTGGACTGTGAAGAAAAGGGAGGCTGTGATGAAGGTAAGATGCAAGACTCTTCCATCAACTTCAAATATTTACTATTTTGGGACAGTAAAACCTAAAAGCATGTCTTTTTGTTACTAATTCTGCTGTAATTTCTCAGGAGAATCCCACTCAACTACGGATACTTGCAAATTTAATTCAACTTGCAAAATGAGGAACTGGTGAAAAATGTCTTCAAAAGCCATTTGTAAGACATGTACAGCAAGCATTAATTTGTACAACAGTTACAATAAAGAGGCACGTGCTCCCTACTGAGTAGTCTGAATTTAAACCACATGCTGCTTCTGATTTGGTTTAATTTTTTAGCTGAAATCCATAAACTGCTGAGTCCTATTTAGACAAAACACCTGACGACACAGAACTCCGGTGAAATGCTCTTTCCATTCTGGAATGGATCCTATTAGTCATGTACCCTTGTCTTCTTTTCATGAGCAAAACAGCTTTGAAAGACTTTGCTCAGAGTTGATCCACAGATTTCAATTACACTCTCACCATGAAAACCAAAATCCAAAGGACAAAGTCAAAATTCTTGGGTATTACTCACCAAAACTTGAAGCTCCTTTTCCAAAGAATCTTTAACTTGATTTACTGCACTCAAGTTTTTCTCAAGGTCAAGAAGCTTTTGCTCTTTGCCCTGCAGTTCTTTGGCCAGATTACTAGCCTAACAAAGTTGATGAAATGGAGTAAAATAAAATTACAAACATGAATGAAAAAAAAGCTGAAAGAAATAACTACAATATTAAAATCACTGTAAGATGAAAA